TAAGGTAGAGGTTGGAGAGTAGAATGCTTGAATGGTGGTTAATAATGGAAATGTAATAGCAAGTATGATTCTGCTGGGTGTGGTGGCTCACACTTATAATCCCAGTGCTTTAGGAGCCAGAGGTGGGAGGGTCACTTGAGTGCAGGAGTTCAAGACCAGCGTGGGCAACCCAGTGAGACTCCTCCATCTCTACAAAAATCTTTTAAAAATTAGCTAAGCTTGGTGGCACACACCTGTAGTATATGTTTATATGTACAGTAAGCCCTCAGTTAACGTGGTCAGTAGGTTCTTGGCAACTGCAACTTTAAGCAAAATGATGCACAGCAGGCCCTTGAATAACACTGGTTCATTCAACATCATTTTGCTGCAACACTGATGAGAAAAATACTGGTTTTACTATGTCATTTCACTTAAAGTCACAGTTTCCAAGAACCTAGGGACAATGTTCAGTGAGGGCTTACTGTATCCACATGCACACACATCTTTGCCCACTCGTGTAAGTGTATTTGTAGAAGAAAATGCTAGAAGTCCTAGTTTCAAAAGTAAAACTATGTATCTTAACTTTTGAATTGACTCAAATAGCTCATCACACACCAGCCTGAGAAAATACAAATAAATTCTTACACTATTGATTTTATTAAACTCTGGCATGGTTTTCTTGAATAGCAATTTTATATACACATTCCCTAAGACCAGCAATCCCACTTCCAAAGTGTATACTCAGTTAAAAAGTGCACGAAGGCTGCCTATTACAACAAAAATATAATGGCAAACAATTGGAAAAATCTAAATGAAAGACCTGGCATGGTGGCTCATGTCTGTAATCCCAACACTTTGGGAGACCGAGGCAGGAGGACTGCTTGAACTCAGGAGTTCAAGACAAGCCTGGGCAGCATGGCAAGACCCCATCTCTACTAAAAGTACAAAAAACCAGCCAGGTGTGGTGGTGTCCGCCTGTGGTCCCAGCTACTGGGAAGCTGAGGTGGGAGGATCACTTGGGGGGGGGTTGCAGTGAGCCAAGTTAGAGATCGCGCCGCTGCACTCCAGCCTGGGTGACAGAGCCAGACCCTGTCTCTAAAAATATATATAAAATAATAATAAAATAAAAAATAAATTAGTGGGGCATGGTGGCACCCACCTGTAGTCCCATTTATTAGGGAGGCTGGGGCAGGAGGACTGCTTGAGCCCAGGAGTTCAAGGCTGCAGTGAACTATAATGAGGCCATTGCATTCCAGTCTGGGGGACAGAGCAAGATCCTGTCTCAAAAAAAAACTAAAGTAGTAAAATTCATAGGGACAGATACTAGTTGCTAGGGGCTGAGGGGAGGGGAAAATGGGGAGTTGTTTAATGGGAGTAGTTTCAGTTTTGCCACATGAAAAAAAGTTCTGGAGGTGATGGGACAGTTGCACAACAATATGAATGTAGTTAACAGTACTAACTACACATTTAAAAATGGTTGGCCGGGTGCGGTGGCTCACGCCTGTAATCCCAGCACTTTGGGAGGCCGAGGCGGGTGGATCACGAGGTCAAGAGATCGAGACCATCCTGGTCAACATGCTGAAACCCCGTCTCTACTAAAAATACAAAAAATCAGCTGGGCATGGTGGCGCATGCCTGTAATCCCAGCTACTCAGGAGGCTGAGGCAGGAGAATTGCCTGAACCCAGGAAGCGGAGGTTGCGATGAGCCGAGATCGCGCCATTGCACTCCAGCCTGGGTAACAAGAGCGAAACTCCGTCTCAGAAAAAAAAAAAAAAAATTGTTAGTGATACATTTTATTTTTCGTAAAACCCATATGCACAAAAAGATAAATTTTATGTTATGTGTACTTTACAACAATTTAAGAAAAAATTTAAATGCTCATCCCAACATTACCATGCCCCCCACCCTTAGCCAACTGCTGAATGTTTACTCATTTTTCAACGCACAGCTCAAATGTCTCCTCTTACCACGCCATCCCTTAGCTGACCACTCTTGTAGTTGGCCATCCCCTCACTTATGCCAACACTACGCCCTGCACACACATTATACCGCTTACAGCACTTATAGTAATTATCACTTCACAGATCTGTTTCCACTACTAAATTACAAGCAATCTGGGGCGCAGGGACCTTGTTTTATTCATCTCTGTATCCCCTAGATTTGGGCCTTGATAAGCTGAAAAGAATCAAGAAGGGCTTGATTAAAGCTTTGGCTCTTAAGGAGCTCATACCAGAGGGTCATTTGCCTAAAAGGAGAGGCATCGGGGTCTCCCCAAGTTTTAGAAATCTGGTCAAACATCCAGAGTTTACGCCCACACCCTACTGCGAGAAGAGTGTGAGCACGCGTCTCACAAGGCTCCGCCTCAGCAGTTTGAGTCCCCAGAGGGATACGGGGGCCACCCCACCTCCGCCCTAGGCCAGGTCGGTTAGCTAAACCCGCCCAGTAGCCCAGACATACCTCAGGTAATGAGCAGCCTGCTCTGGGCTCAAGGCCTCGGCTTCCGGAAACCTTCCGGACGCCTCCATGACCCTCGAGTCGGGTTCCAGTTACCGCGGCGGGAGCTTGGAGCTTGAATTTCGCGCACTCCCGCCCCGCGCATGCTCTCTGCGCCTGTGGAAAGGGACGCAGCCAACCGTCGGCCTCGCTGCCGGCCAATCCCCTACCGCACGCTGCGACGCCACCGCCTGAGCCCCGCCCATGAGAGGAGGCGCCTGCGCCTACGCGAGCCGGGAGGTAGAAGGCCATCTCTGCCCGCGACACACTGAGTGTGTTGCGTCACTCTGTGGCGCCTCGCGTTTCAACCCAGTTCAAACCATGCTGCGGCCGATTCGTTCGCGCGTGTGTGTTCCATCACTGTGAGTGGAGGAGACATTGTGGCGACACCTGGAGATCTCCGCCGCCTGTGTCCCCCAACCAACCCCGCCTCGCATCCACAGATATCCTCCCTTCCTTGATCGCCAGTGCCTGGCACGGAGCGTGCTTTGAATTCAAACACCCTGAGAGGCATAGTCTCTATGATTTAAACTCACATTGAAGAAGCGACCGGGCGCGATGGTTCACGCCTGTAATCCCAGCACTTTGGGAGGCTGGGGCGGACAGATCACTTGAGGTCAGGAGTTCGAGACCAGCCTGGCCAACATGGTGAAACCCTGACTCTACTAAAAACACAAAAATTAGCCAGGCGTGATGGCAGGCGCCCGCGGTCCCAGCTACTCAGGGGGCTGAGGCATGAGAATCGCTTGGACCTGGGAATTGGAGGTTGCAGTGAGCTGCAATTGCACCACTGCACTCCAGCCTGGGTGGCAAAGCGAGATCCAGTCTCAAAACAAAAAAAATAAAAAGGCTGGGCGCAGTGCCTCACACCTGTAATCCTAGCCCTTTGGGGGGCCGAGGTGGCGGGGAAGGTGGGGGAAATATCACTTGCATTCAGGAGTTCGAGACCAGCCTGGGCAACATAGCATGGTCTCTATTTTTTTTAATTTTTAATATTTTTTTCTTTTCCACAGGGCGTTATGCTGTATTTACTTTTAAGAGAGAGAGAGAACGGTCTTCAAGAATCTCGAACCTGGGAGGTGGAGGCTGCAGTGAGCCAAGATTGTGCCACTTGCACTCCAGCCTGGGTAACAGAGCGAGACTCCAACTCAAAAAAAAAAAATTAAAGTTCTTATTTAAGAAATAAGTAGTTAGGTTTACATACGTGGTGTAATAAGAGGAAGACAAAAAGCAAAGGCTGGGCACTGGGGATCACACCTGTAATCCCAGCACTTTGGGAGGCCAAGGCAGGCAGATCACAAGGTCAGGAGTTCGAGACCACCCTGGACAACATGGTGAAACCCCATCTCTACTAAAAATACAAAAATTAGCCAGGCATGGTGGCATGCGCCTATAATCCCAGCTACTCGGGAGGCTGAGGCAGGAGAATCGCCTGAACCTGGGAGGCAGAGGTGGCAGTGAGCCGAGATCGTGCCACTGCACTCCAGCCTGGGCAACAGAGTGAGACTCCGTCTCAAAATAAAAAAATTAAAAAGAAAGAAAGAAGTTGTGCTGTGGTCACCATTTCTTCAGAAGCACCAACTAAGATACAGTCATTTTTCAAAGGCAGAGCCTTTAAAAAAAAAAAAGGCACAGCCTAGAGCTTAAGGATATGTGATTGAGTTTAAGTGGCTTGCTTGGGTGACACTAAATAGGAAATTATGGGCCAAGAAAAATCGTCCTTGTCCTCGTTCATATACCGTTAAGAACACAGACATGATTCCTCAAGACACTAATTTAGCATTCAGTATTTGAAAACTCACCTACTGACCCAGTCATACATCATACGTCCAGAGAATTTTAAGCTTTTTATAGCATTCATAGACCATTATGAGTTAAAAGGGATCTTGGAGAACATGGGCTGTTTTCCTGGTTTGTATGACTTGAAGCCATGCCCTTTGTAAGAGGCCTTTTAGTATACTATTATCCCCATTTTTCAGACATGGAAACACTCAGAGAGATAAAGTGACTTCACCTAAGCTTCCTGAGCTTAGAAGCAGCAGAGCCAGAATTCAATACTAGGGCCATGTGGACCCAAATCTGTGCTGTTTCGCTGTGTCACACTGGAAAGAAGAGGGCAGTGGTGGAAAATGAGGTTGATGAGGTAGCTGAAGGCCAGGCTGTGAAGGAGCTTGTTTACTCTGCGTAAGTGTTTGAATCACATCTTTTCCTAGAGGCCAGCCTGGATTGGGCTGTGCTATGGTCTGAATGTCCTTCAAAATTCATGTGTTGAAACTTCTTTTTTTTTTTTTTTTTTTTTTTTTTTTTTTTTTTTTTTTTTTTTTTTTTTTTTTTTTTTTTTTTTTTTTATACGGAGTCTCGCTCTGTAGCCCAGGCTCGAATGCAGTAGCGTGATCTCGGCTCACTGCAACCTCTGCCTCCTGTGTTCTGGTTCAAGCAATTCTCCTGCCTCAGCCTCCCGAATAGCTGGGATTACAGGCAAATGCCACCATGCCCAGCTAATTTTTAGATATTTAGTAGAGACGGGGTTTCACCATGTTGGCCAGGCTGGTCTTGAACTGAACTTGTGACCCACCCGCCTCGGCCTCCCAAAGTGCTAGAATTACAGGCATGAGCCACCGTGTCTGGCCATGTGTTGAAACTTAATCCCCACTGTGGTGGCATTGAGAGGCGGGGCCTTTTGGGAAGTAATTGTGTCATAAGGGATCCTACTTCATGAATGAATTAGGGAGCTAGTTTAGGCCCTTTTGGCTCTTCTGCATTTCTATCATGTAAGGACACAGTATTCCTTCCCCTCCAGAGGATGCAGCAACAAGGCGCCATCTTGGAAGCAGAGAACAGCCCTCACCAGACACCAGTCCTGCTGGCACCTTCATCTTGGACTCTTCAGCCTCCAGAACCATAATAAATATATTTCTATTGTTTATAAATTATGAGTTCGAGTCTGTGGCATTTTATTATAACAGCACAAAGGAGCTAAGGATGAATTGAGTGTCCAGATGCCCTGAGTACCCAAAGGATGCGTAGGATGAGAAGAGCAGAATAGGGGAGAAAATGTACTGGAGAATTCTGCAGAAAGGAAAAGAGAGGTGAGAGCACAAAAATCTGCATCTTGAGTCTGGGGAATGCCGTGTCTGGTTGTGCTTTGGCTCAGAGTCTACCACCATCACTCATATGCTGGGAATTGTTGAGAACTCAAGAAGCAAAGCAGGCCCTTGGTGATGGGTTGTAGGCAGCTGCCCCCCTGTGGGCTGTGAAGAAGAGCTAAAGAGAGCTCCCTCAGGAACCGGGCTACCTCCCTTCTGCTTCCCAACTGGCAGTGATGCCCAAAGGCCCTGATCACTGGGAAGGAAGGACTAACCCTCGGCTTGCCTGCCCTTTGACTATTGGATTTTCTAAGCCCCATTTTCACACAGCTGTAGGGATCCTCCTTTGAACTCCCCAGCTCTGGTTGCTCCTCCCCTCTCCTTCAACCCTGTAGTCTCTGCTTCCTTTGGGCCCTTCTTGGTGCCTTCTGGAGTCCCAGCTCTCAACCCAGGGCTCTGATGACCCAGGAAACTCCCTAGCCCAGGCTCCTAGTCCTCCTTCGTAAATGGTTACCAGACGCACAGCCTGAAAATAAGAGAGGGATTGGGAGAATTTTGAGTGGGTAAATGTAGAGAATGAAAGAGAATCAAAATAATAGTTACCACTACATCCCTCTTATGGGACAGGCCCTTTTCAAAACACTTTACGTAGATTAACTCTCATCTGTTCCTCATTATGCATCTACCCCAAATCAAGGGCTCCTGCTCCCACAGCTTCTCTCAAGGGAATGGGGTTTAAAAAGCTCTCCCTAGGCCAGGCATGGTGGCTCATGCCTGTAATCCCAGCACTTTGGGAGGCCGAGGTGGGTGAATCACCTGAGGTCAGGAGTTTGAGGCCAGCCTGGCCAACATGGTGAAACCCCATCTCTACTATCATCCTCCTTTTACAGATGAGGAAACTGAGGCACAGAAAGATTGAATAACATAAAAGTTTACACAGTTTGTGAGTGGTGAAGCAGGATTCCAAACACAGGCAGTCTGGCTTTCTACTTTTTGCTCTTAAACACGATGCTAGTTAGATATAGAAAGAAGCAAACAGTTGAAGAAAAGGATGCATTCATCCACTTACTTATTCATTTATTTAGTAAATATGTGTTGAGCCTTTACAAGATGGGCAGGCAAGGATCTGGGTGCTGGGGGTAGAGTGGTGAGCAAAACAGGTTCTTGCTATCAAAGAGCTTAAAGTTCCATGGGGGAGATGGACTTGAAACAATAATCATACAAACCCTTGGAACATTAAAAACGTGAGGAGGGCTCAGAAGGAAAACTGCAGGCAATTATGAGAGCATGCAATGAGGTATCTGACCCAATCTGGAGGGCTGGGAAAGGTTTCTCTGAGGAAGTAGGATTTGAGCTAGGAGCTGAAGGATAGGGAAGAGCTAACCAAACAAAAAGAAAAGGGAAGGGCATTTCAGGCAGAGGGAATAGCATGACCAAAGGCCCTGAGGCAGGAGAGGGTTTGATGTATATGAAGAACTAAAAAGGTTACTAACTAAGGTGGTTGGAGCAAGCCTAGAATGCCAGAGTTGAAGTGGTTTATTGGACTCCAATGTAATGCCACAGGTAAGGGAACTGTCACTGGGAAAGAAGGAAGTGACCAGTCAGACCCTGAATCAGTGACAGAAACAGGACTCAAACCTAGGTACCTTCACTCCCAACCCAGTGTTTTTTTCCACACACATAATGGCTTCCCTGCATATGAGGAGGGAGTGCCAGCAAAATGCTGCTCTTAGGGACCGAGAATGGGAGAGTGTTTTTGATAACCAAATGAAATTTTCATGGGCAAGGAGATCATGAGTGGGTTTGGGGCTAAGCACAGTGGCTTGCGCCTGTAATGCCAGCACTTTGAGAGGCCAATGTGGGAGGGTCACTTGAACCCAGGAGTTTGAGACCAGCCTGGGCAACATGATGAAACCCCATCTCTACAAAAATACAAAAATTGGCTGTGTGTGGAGGAATGGCTGTAGTCCTAGCTACTCAGCAGGCTGAGATGGGAGAATCTCTTGAGCCTAGGAGTTCAAGGCTGTAGTAAGCAGAGTCGTACCACTGCACTCCAGCCTGGGTGACAGAGTGAGATCCAGTCTCAAAAAAAAAAAGGAGCCAAGGTGGGTTTGGG